TTAAGTAAAAATGTAAGTAATTTTTATATATATATTTTTTCAATATTGAAATATTGATGAACCGTTATACCATAAATAATGTTTTATGTAAAAAAAAATAATTTTGGACATAAGATAATTGATGTCTGGTAAACATAACACTGACATTAGATTTTGACGTAAGATTTAACATATATCAGAGCATTTAAGGAATATTCTAGTGTAGAAATTCAAAAAAATTTTTTACTTCTGTTCCATATTTGCAAATCTTGCAAAAATATGTGTACGAAAGAATTTTTAAAATTTAAATTATTTTCGGAAATACACCTGCTTGACCACTATAAACCTCTTTTTCGCGAAATTTTAATGTGTTTTTTCTCAAACCGTCTTTTTCAATAAGATGCCCACGATTTCTCGACTTTTACTGAACCGATTTACTTGAATATTTCAGAGAATCTTCTTCATAGACATCTCTCGAGCATATACTAAACTCATCCCCAAATTTCAATTTTTACTATTTTTAAAAAAATCGTGAAACTCAAAGTGGTAAGAAGAATTATATATTTTTTCAAACTATCTACTTGAAATTTTCAGAGAATTTTCTTTATAGACTTCTTTCTTACGTATACTAACCTGATACCCAAATTTCAATTTTTACTATTTTAAAAAATCGTGAAACTCAAAAAGTGGTAAGGAAAATTATATTTTTTTCAAACTATTTACTTGAAACTTTTAGAGAATCTTCTTTATAGACTTTACTCTGGCGTATATTTGCCTCATCCCCAAATTTCAATGTTTACTATTTTGGAAAAATTCGAGAATACCTTAAAGTGGTAAAAAAATGCTATTTTTTTTCAAACAGTCGCAATTATGTAAAAAAAAAAAAATTAACTTAATTCTAGTATATGCATTTTTTTCTTTTCGGAAAAGAGCTAAAAGCGTGGACATGGTCACGTGTCAATTTTTTAGGACCTCCCCACCTCAACAATTGCTAATTTTTGAAATTATTTACATTTTTCTTTTCACATATTTATGTCTGTGCACTGATAAATAAATTATAGAAAAAATGGTAGTAAAAGAAACGGATTGCCTTTTATATAGAATATTTTAAAATTGCCCTAAAATTCATACTTCTACATTAGAATACCCTCTTAAATATAAATTGTCATTAAATTAAAATTTATAGAATTAAAATTCAGTTTTTATATTAAAAATTACTAATTTTTTGGTAAAAATAAAGCAGACTTTACATTTTAATTAAGCAAAATTTAACATAAATCAGCATTTGAGTACAAATTTCAAGTAAATTGGTACTTCTTTGATGTTACCCATAGATATTAAATTTTTCTCAATAATAAGTTGTTTTTTGTTATTTTTTTCGTTACTCCTACATATATACATAATTACTATTATGTATCATTTTAACATAAAGGAAAAATATTGAATTTAGAAAACTTGCTAACTCTTTGTCTATTTATTTGAATTCTTCTTCTTTAAATTTCTTTAAATTATTAATAAACGTATAACATTTCTTTAAATTTTGATATTAAACAAAATATACTTAAAGTTTGGAAATTTGATTTGCGTCTTAATATACAACTTTATGTTTTTACTTTCATATTTTTTTTTGCTTTTTAACGCTTCAGGCTGTGGATTTAATTTTTTTTATAAGTTACTCGATTCATATAGAGACCTATCATATATATATTATAATATATATATATATTATATATATATATATATATATATATATATTAATTGTTTAATATGAACAAAACAGCACTCAGATTTGTTTAACACAACAACTTTATTTTATGATTACAGACGTTTCGAGACCATGGTGTGTCTCATCCTCAGTGTAATTTCAAAAACAGTTACTTATATACTACACATTCTTTAATAATTTATTTAAATTTTATTTAATTTTTGGTATACACAAAAACACCAACTATTCCTTGCAATGCTTGACACAGAATAGTTGGTGTTTTTTGTATACCAAAAATTAAATAAAATTTAAATAAATTATTAAAGAATGTGTAGTATATAAGTAACTGTTTTTGAAATTACACTGAGGATGAGACACACCATGGTCTCGAAACGTCTGTAATCATAAAATAAAGTTGTGTTAAACAAATCTGAGTGCTGTTTTGTTCATATTAAACAATTAATATATATATATATATATATATATATATATATATTACTATCATTACCTCTAGAAGTTTTATACGAGCCTCGTCTGCCCAATCCTTGACTCGTTGACCTGCTAGGTGCATCCTCAGGAGATTCTAATCCAAAAATAATTACCAGATCAGTTTTTTTTTTCAATTGATGTATAATAAAATAAGAAATGTATTATTATATTATTGTTATATAAAAACAAATACAGCAAAAATAAAACAATGATGTGAGAGAAACGAGAGTTGTTGATTTACCTCGATAAGACAGGCTGTCTTGCGAGCCCCTGTAGTAATCCCTCCTGATGGTGCCCCCAGATTGACTTCCTATGCCTTACGAGGGACAAAACAAAACAAAAATAAATAAAAGCAAACTAAAAAAATTGAGTGTTATACATGTTACTGTGGAAAGTAACTACAGGCCTATTAAAACACTAAAGGAACTTCCTAAAATATTGATAATTAGCAGTCTGAACATACACCGTGCATGTCCTAATCTCAATTAACATATAATTATTTCAATAAATTCGTGCCTTATTAAAAAAAAAAGCACATTTATCAGATATAGAACTTTGAGTTTTGTGGTAAAATAGACTAATGTTATGGCAATGCTGTGTTAGGCTCCGTTTTTCATATAAAATCTTACCAAAAATGTCAAAATGCTATGTTATTCTGTGCAGTCAAACGTCAACATGTAGGAAGTTAGATTTTATGTATAAAACCGCCTGGCTGCACGGCAACCGCGTAGCTTTTTGACAGCTTTTAGTACCAATTTTATAAGTTATTTATAAGCCATAACATTGATATGGTATTATATGGCAATATTGATCCATTTATTACTATCGAAAATCTCTAAATTTTACACACTTAATGAGCAGTAGATTAAATATGGCCTGTAGTTTCATATAAATGCAATTTTTATAAATAAAAAGCAGTGCAAAAGGGTTCATGAACAAAAATATAAACAAATATAGATATATACATGGTGCTAATAATAGAAGGGAATTATTAGAAGATAAGAAGATTAGTATAATTTCTGAGTGGGAATTATAGCTTTCCAAATCCTCCTCCCACAAAGTAATACCTAAAGGCTGTTTTCGAGGGTAAGAAACAAACAGAGGTTTTAGTCGGTATTAGGAAATGCGGTATTCCGGAATACCAAGAATTAAATTGGATATAATTTTGTTAAATTATTATTTAAAAAATAACTTATTGTTTTTTTTTATTGTTTAGTTGAATATAGTTGTAGTTGTATATATAATTTTTTATATTTGTATTAGTAACTTTCATTTTTTTCTACATTTGTTTAAGATTACCGAAATACCGGTATTGAAATTTTTTATTTATCGTTATTGCATTCCCTAGTCGGTATTATACCCAAGCGGTACTAATTCCGGCATATTCAGACAAAAGACTTAGTCTGGGATGCACAAATGCATTTCCTTCGCCACCAAAATAAAGCTTGGTATTAATAATGGACTTTTTGAGACCATCAACTTTTTTTTTAACTAGATCAACATCGTATAAAAAAATCAAAATGTATATTAACAAATTACTTATTTAATATGCACAACTAGTGTAACCGCCTAAAAACAAATGATTTTTGGGAATTTATATCAAAAAAAACTTTATCAATCATTTCAAAATTTTAAGAATATATTTATACATTTTTTAAGAATACATAGTAAAATTTTTGAAGAAAAAAATTAAATATTTATTAAGTTATCGCCGATCTCCAACGGCGCGACAAAAAAAAGGCCTTTCACTGCTGCAGTGATTCCGGCCTTCTACGTGGATGAAATTAAAAAAATTATTATTCAACTATATATATATATTGTCTGTAAAATGACCTACGATAGAAAAAAATCAAACATTGACAAAATAGTGGCGTTTAAAAAAAAGTTGAATTTTACCCAAAAATTTGTCGTTTTTGGACTGCCAAAATTCGATTTTAGTTCCGATCAAAAAATCGTTAGTTCATTTTACGGAGAAGTATATATAGAACATGTGAAAAAAATTTGATAGTGATCGGATCATTTGTTTTTGAGTAACCGCTGCAGACAATTCGGAAAATGCTGTTTCGATAAAAACGCGTTTAAAGATAAAATGATCGTTATACTATATACTATGTATATACTCTTTAAATGGCTGTGACTCAAAAACTATTTAAGATATCGATTTAAAATTTTGGTATGTTATTTTTAAAGGTATAACCTATCGAAATATGGAAAAATTGAAAATTAGATTTTTTGATAATTTCACACTAGTTGTGCCCCTTGAATTATAATTCACTATTTATTCATTTAATAAAAAAATCCGCCAGGCTGATGCATCTTTACAAAAAAAAAGTTCAAAAATGAAAAAAGTTTCCTTTCTATTATCCCGAAAAGTTTTTGATTTAAACCTCTTGTTTGAACAACAGATCTAATAACGCAAACCTCTATGAATTATCATTACCACCATGTATATCATCTTAATCCACATAAAAAATTGCTCACCAAACAAACCAACAAAACTATCATATATACATTTATTACCTGACAGATTACTGCTCGATCCCTTCTTCCCCCGACTGTTGACCAGTGCCAAACTATCAGATATTTCCTGAGAATCGATATGTATTGTCTTAGGACGTTGTCTAGGTTTGCCACCGGCTGCGCTGCCTATCGTGGAACTACTCGAGCTATTAGTTTTGGTTCGAGCCTGGGTGTCGTGCTGGTCTGGTTGGCGGCGTTCAATGGCGTCGTGATCTTCAGAGAGTGCATGAGCTCGTTCTTGTCTATCACCTTACCCTGGGGGAAGAGGATAGAGGAAAATTTAATCGAGAATTAACTAGTGGTGTATGGCATCGTGCCTTAAGGCAAATTGCTGTAACTTCCCGTACCAAAAATTATTAATTTTTTAAAACGACTAACAGTTTTGAAAAAAATCACTGAAAAAATTAGATTTTTAAGAAACTATAAATTTTTGACAAAAATTTACTTTTTTTGAAAAAAGACTTTTTGAAGAAAATTTATTTTGAAATATTTTGGAAATTCTGAACTTTTTTTCAAAGCAATCGTACTGCTTTAAGACGAATGCATAGAGACTTGCATAGAGACGAAATATCGAAGCGTCGCCGTCTAACGCATAAACATTGGTACGGAACCCAATGTAATGTAAACAAAATTTATACTTATTGTTAAAATCTCTATAAAATATCTGATAATTTGATGTGCATATGTCTAATGATCATTTTTGACCGCTAGATGGCATTTTTGTTTACTTTTTTTACTAGATCTCCTAAACTGCTAGACCTGCCTTCATGAAAATTTGACCAATTCTTCATCTTGTCAATACAAGTAAAATGCTTTTTGAATTTCAAAATCGGACGCTCCGTTCTCTTAAAAACGGGGTTACCGTTTTCGCGCACTTTTTGCCCCGTATCTTCGGAACGACTAGACCTGCCTTCGCCAAAAACTAATCAACACGTCTCCTTATCAATACGAATCGAATGTTTTTTAAATTATTCAAATTGCTTCATCCGTGTTCCCGAAACCGTGGACGAAATTTGTATCCGAACACACACACATACACGCACACACACATACACACACACATACATCCATTTTTTCTAAGGTATGCCAAAATGTTCAGAAGGTTTCGAAACGTAAAGATATATAAAAAATCATTTTCGATTTTTTTGTGATTACTATAACTTGCTCTACGGGAAGTTAATCATAAATAAATTTATCTCCAGAACTTTAACAATCGTCATTTCATTTCGAATTCAATTTCAAAAAAAAAGTTGCCTAATTTGCATAAAATTGAAAAAATACTCCCGTATAGTCACAGTCTAAACGCATTTGCAAATAATTCTGTGCGACATTTTCACTTATACTGTGCTTAGCTTGGCTACATTTTCACATTTTTCAAAAGTTTTCGTTTTCACAAAATTGGAAAAGTGCTCCAGTACATAAACAGTCTAAACGCACTTGGGTAAACATTTGTACCAGAGTGGCGCTTAGACTGTGCTTAGCATGTGTAATTTTTTGATTTGAATTTTTAATCCCAAAATTACAAAAATATTTTTTGAAAAAAAAAATTAAAAACAAAATTTTTTTCCAAAAGCAATTATTTTGTTGAAACAAGCAGAAAGTTTTTTAGATCATTCAAACTGGACGCTTAGTAATCTCAAAAACTGCCATTTTTTTAACATTTAGCTCTGTATCTCCAAAACAGCTGGGTCTACCTTTGCTAAAAACTAATAACCACTTTTCCCAATCATTACGAATCGAATATTTTTTGGATCATACAAATTGGATGATCCGTTTTCTCAAAAACTCAATTTGTATTTTCTGCACTCTTTGCTCCGTATCTCCGTAACGGCTGGACCTGCCTTTGCCAAAAACTAATCAGCACATTTCCCTATCAATAAGAATCGAATGTTTTTTAAACCATTCAAATCGGTTGATCCGTACGCCCGAAAACGTGGACAAAAAATTGTATCCATACATATACACACACATCCATTTAGTTTCTGAGGTATGCCAGTAAAATGTTCAGAAACCTTCAAAACGTCGAGAAATGCAAAAATCTTCATTTTCGATTTTCGGCCCGTTACTATAACTGCCCTACGTCATGTTAAAATAAAAAAAGGGTGGTCTTTCTATTATTACCTCTCTCTCGGCCTCCTCAATAGCCTTCTTCAACCTATGCCTGTCCAAAATTTCCTGCCTCCTCCTGGCTTGTTCTTCTTTCCGCCTCGATTTTTCCTCTTCGGCAGCCCTCTCTTTTTCTTTTTCCCTCTCCAAATCAGCTTCCCGTTTGGCCCTGTCCTCATCCTGCTTCTGTCTGCGCCTTAAGGAAAGTAGCATAATCTTTTCTTTCTTTCGTTCCATTTCGTCAACAGAATCCTGGAAAAAATATACAAACTAGTTATAAGAATTCTACAAAAACAATGTGTTTGAGAATATTTTTTGTAAGACCTACCGGATCAGGGTTGGCAAGATCAGTTCCTATAATGAGTGCGGCTGGTGTAGGTTGATCGTGACTTTTATCTCGATTCGCATCGATTTGATTTGTATTCCTATTAGGCTCGGCACTTAAAGTTTCTCTCTGTAATTATAAATATAACAATTTAGTAAAATCCAAATATACATAATACTTTTTTTATCATCTCACCTTATCCCTTACAATAACTCTTTCCCTGTCCAATTCAGCAGCCAGCATCTCCACGTCCTTATTGAATTTATCATTAGTTTTGGTTTCCATTTGATGCGTATTGTTGTTCTGCAAATTGTTATTATTACTATGCTGTTGACTTTGTGTTGTCGAAGGTGTTCTTTTGGCTCTGAGTGGAGGTTTTGGTCGTTTAGGCTGTTTGTTGTCGTTGTCTTCGAATGATATATAGAAACCTGAAAATAAAAATGATAATTTTATAGTTTATGATCTACAATACGCTCAGATGATCTAGAACACTCTCAGACAGACTGCAGGACTCTGAGACAGACTGCAGGACTCTGAGACAGAATGCAGGACTCTGAGACAGAATGCAGGACTCTGAGACAGAATGCAGGACTCTGAGACAGAATGCAGGACTCTGAGACAGAATGCAGGACTCTGAGACAGAATGCAGGACTCTGAGACAGAATGCAGGACTCTGAGACAGACAGCAGGACTCTGAGACAGAATGCAGGACTCTGAGACAGAATGCAGGACTCTGAGACAGAATGCAGGACTCTGAGACAGAATGCAGGACTCTGAGACAGAATGCAGGACTCTGAGACAGAATGCAGGACTCTGAGACAGAATGCAGGACTCTGAGACAGAATGCAGGACTCTGAGACAGAATGCAGGACTCTGAGACAGAATGCAGGACTCTGAGACAGAATGCAGGACTCTGAGACAGAATGCAGGACTCTGAGACAGAATGCAGGACTCTGAGACAGAATGCAGGACTCTGAGACAGAATGCAGGACTCTGAGACAGACAGCAGGACTCTGAGACAGACAGCAGGACTCTGAGACAGACAGCAGGACTCTGAGACAGACAGCAGGACTCTGAGACAGAATGCAGGACTCTGAGACAGAATGCAGGACTCTGAGACAGAATGCAGGACTCTGAGACAGAATGCAGGACTCTGAGACAGAATGCAGGACTCTGAGACAGAATGCAGGACTCTGAGACAGAATGCAGGACTCTGAGACAGAATGCAGGACTCTGAGACAGAATGCAGGACTCTGAGACAGAATGCAGGACTCTGAGACAGAATGCAGGACTCTGAGACAGAATGCAGGACTCTGAGACAGAATGCAGGACTCTGAAACAGAATGCAGGACTCTGAGACAGAATGCAGGACTCTGAGACAGAATGCAGGACTCTGAGACAGAATGCAGGACTCTGAGACAGAATGCAGGACTCTGAGACAGAATGCAGGACTCTGAGACAGAATGCAGGACTCTGAGACAGAATGCAGGACTCTGAGACAGACAGCAGGACTCTGAGACAGAATGCAGGACTCTGAGACAGAATGCAGGACTCTGAGACAGAATGCAGGACTCTGAGACAGAATGCAGGACTTGAGACAGAATGCAGGACTCTGAGACAGAATGCAGGACTCTGAGACAGAATGCAGGACTCTGAGACAGAATGCAGGACTCTGAGACAGAATGCAGGACTCTGAGACAGAATGCAGGACTCTGAGACAGAATGCAGGACTCTGAGACAGAATGCAGGACTCTGAGACAGAATGCAGGACTCTGAGACAGAATGCAGGACTCTGAGACAGAATGCAGGACTCTGAGACAGAATGCAGGACTCTGAGACAGAAGCAGGACTCTGAGACAGAATGCAGGACTCTGAGACAGAATGCAGGACTCTGAGACAGAATGCAGGACTCTGAGACAGAATGCAGGACTCTGAGACAGAATGCAGGACTCTGAGACAGAATGCAGGACTCTGAGACAGAATGCAGGACTCTGAGACAGAATGCAGGACTCTGAGACAGAATGCAGGACTCTGAGACAGAATGCAGGACTCTGAGACAGAATGCAGGACTCTGAGACAGAATGCAGGACTCTGAGACAGAATGCAGGACTCTGAGACAGAATGCAGGACTCTGAGACAGAATGCAGGACTCTGAGACAGAATGCAGGACTCTGAGACAGAATGCAGGACTCTGAGACAGAAGCAGGACCTGAGACAGAATGCAGGACTCTGAGACAGAATGCAGGACTCTGAGACAGAATGCAGGACTCTGAGACAGAATGCAGGACTCTGAAACAGAATGCAGGACTCTGAGACAGAATGCAGGACTCTGAGACAGAATGCAGGACTCTGAGACAGAATGCAGGACTCTGAGACAGAATGCAGGACTCTGAGACAGAATGCAGGACTCTGAGACAGAATGCAGGACTCTGAGACCGTCTGCAAGACTCTCAGACGACCTGCAAGACTCTCAGACGACCTGCAAGACTCTCAGACGACCTGCAAGACTCTCAGACGACCTGCAAGACTCTCAGACGATCTACAACACTCTCAGACGACCTGCAAGACTCTCAGACAATCTACAACACTCTCAGACGATCTACAACACTCTCAGACGATCTACAACACTCTCAGACGATCTACAACAGTCTCAGACGATCTACAACAGTCTCAGACGCTCTGCAAGACTCTCAGACGACCTGCAAGACTCTCAGACGACCTGCAAGACTCTCAGACGACTTGCAAGACTCTCAGACGACTTGCAAGACTCTCAGACGACTTGTAAGACTCTCATACGATATGCAAGACTCTCATACAATATGCAAAACTCTCATACGATATGCAAGACTCTCATACGATATGCAAAACTCTTAGACCATCTGCAAGACTCTCAGACCATCTGCAAGACTCTCAGACGACCTGCAAGACTCTCAGACGACCTGCAAGACTCTCAGATGACCTGCAAGACTCCCAGACCGTCTGCAAGACTCCCAGACCGTCTGCAAGACTCTCAGACGATATGCAAGACTCTCAGACGATATGTAAGACTCTCAGACCATATGCAAGACTCTCAGATCATCTGCAAGACTCTCAGACGACCTGCAAGACTCTCAGACGACCTGCAAGACTCTCAGACGATCTACAACAGTCTCAGACGATCTACAACAGTCTCAAATGATCTACAACAGTCTCAGATAATCTACAAAAGTCTCAGATGATCTACAAAAGTCTCAGATAATCTACAACAGTCTCATACGCTCTGCAAGACTCCCAGATGATCTAAAACAGTCTCAGACAATCTAAAACAGTCTCAGACAATCTGCAACAGTCTCAGACAATCTGCAACAGTCTCAGATGATCTACAAAAGTCTCAGATGATCTACAAAAGTCTCAGATGATCTACAAAAGTCTCAGATGATCTACAAAAGTCTCAGATGATCTACAAAAGTCTCAGATGATCTACAAAAGTCTCAGATGATCTACAAGTCTCAGATGATCTACAAAAGTCTCAGATGATCTACAAAAGTCTCAGATGATCTACAAAAGTCTCAGATGATCTACAAAAGTCTCAGATGATCTACAAAAGTCTCAGACGATCTACAACAGTCTCAAACCATCTACAACACTCCCAGAAAATCTTCAACGCTCTCACGCAATTTATAACACTCTCACACGATCTAGAACACTCTCAGATATTAGACAACACTGTCAGGCGATCTACAACAGTCTCAGACGACCTACAACAGTCTCAGACGACCTACAACACTCTCAGACAATCTACAACACTCCCAGACATTTTACAACACTCCCAGACATTTTACAACACTCTCAAACCATCTACAACAATTTCAGTTCCCTTACCTTTTTCATTAATCGAATTCTGATTGTCCTTGGGTAAAACACTAGGCCTCGTCGGACTGGGTATCCTGTAAGTCCTGCTCCCAGATGTGATGTGAAGACGCGAATTGATATTCCTGGATAAGGCCTCCATTTCATTATTCTGATCTTTGTACGGGCTACGACTAGTTGTTTGGATATCCTCTTCGTTCTCATCCCCTATGAAGGAAATCGATTGGGGTGCCATCTCATCGATGGGCGGCGATTTTAAAGGCATCAGTCTGGCGTCACCTTCACCTGGGAAAATTGACCGATGAAATATTGTTTGATGTTAACACTAGATATACCACGCCAGTCAAAATAACTGGTTGGGCACTTTCAGTTCAAAATTCCCATTATATGTAAAATTTGTTTTGTTAAATGAAGTTATAAGTATAGAAATCATGTTATGCATTCAAAGTTACTTTTTATATATATTAGTAACAAAAATAAATTATGTTACTACTACTTATACCAACACCAGTCAAAATGACTAGTGCAAGTTTCTAAAAAAAATGTTTGATGAAAGAATCGAAATAACAATAGACATAAATCGTATGCGTTTATCGCCTACTCTCTTATCGACGATATTGTATATTATTTATTCTTTATTCATTTTAACATGGTAAAAATGCAGATTGCTGTACTATTACTAGATTTTTACCAACAAAACAATAGTTTCAAGCTTCGTTCAACACACTAAATAAAATTTTATTCAAAGTGATTTTCAAGTATAATTACTTATTCTTTTTGTACACTGATACAAGTAAGTAACATTCGCGTGGATACAGAAATGTTCAAAAATATATTCTTGAGTAAAAAAAAACTATAAACGAAAAACTGCCATGGTTTCGACTTATTTTTATAGCGACTGTCAGTCTTCAAAAAAGAATGGAAAGAATGTTTTTTAGCTTGTTTGGAAAATACAATCAGCGGATCTCTGAAATTTTTGGTCCCAAGATTTAAAATATATGATAGTGACGGTGAATTTTTAGACAACCAAATCAACCTACAAGACAGTGCTATTATCGACTATAGAGATGGGAAAATTTCGTGATAAAGACTAAAATTAATAAAGAAACTAAAATTGGTTGGGACGAAACTATTTGAACAAGAGTGAAATAGTAAAGTGAAATAGATTTTGCAGGTAGATTAGAAATTCAAAGAGCTTTCAGAGATATACTCAGACTAAACACATTATAGAAAATAGCAAAAATTGCTTCAAACAGGGAGCTCATATCACTTTGGTCGAATAACATTTTCCAACGGAGGCCAGAAGCATGTTTAGCCAGTAAATGTCAAAGAAACATTATAAATTTACATAAAAATCTGTCTAACATCTGATGATAACAAAATATATGGTAAATGGTTGCCTGTATTTAGGGGAAGACGAAGAATCAACCCCTCTAAGCGAATTTGTAGTAATGAAACTTCTTGAAACTTATATCATGAAGGGTATAAATGCAATAACCGATACTATTTTTATAATTATTCATATGGCATTGACATTAAAATTTAAAAACACGTCGATAATTTTACGCGCAAACAAGTGGGTGCTGCCGGACACTTTTATTAGGTATTGTGCTAAAGTATTGTAAAAACTATTAAAACTTAATATATTTTGTTATTTGACAATATCTATAAGTTTATTTAACAGCTGTAATTCGTTTTGTTCAATTTAAAATAACAATAAGTATGTTTTCTTAGAAACCAGTTATTTTGACTGGTATTGGTAGAAATAGGTATATACAAACGGCTGGTATATCTAGTGTTAAAATATTAGGTTGTCAAATATCTCCCTTCCGCTTTTTTGCTCTTGGTTTATAATACAAAAAGGCGGAAGGGAGATATTTGACAACCTATTATAATTGCGCTATTACCTGACATGGGTCTATTATTGGTGTTCATCGACATGTTGGTATAATGTGATGTGACATCTCCTCCGTTTGAGAAACTTTCATAAGGTCTACTCGGTTGGGCTCCATAGGGGCTCGTGGATTGCTGATTCTGGTTCGTGTACTGTGTTTGATTCGGTTGTTGGTTTGAGTATTGGTTCGGATTCTTAAACTGATTCTGCTGTTGCTGTTGCTGTTGCATCTGGTTACTATACCTCCTCTCCTGATACTGCTGATTCTGGTTCTGATACTGCTGGCTAGGATACTGGTTATTCTGCTGCTGATTGTAGTCGTTCATCGGTTTACTATAAGTCTGATTATACTGCGGCTGGTTATTATAATTCGCTTGATTGTAATTTCCCTGTTGCGTTTGTGCTTGTTGCAACAAATGGTTGCCGTACTGATTGTTTCCCTGGTTTCCAAAATGAGTAGCGACTTGTATCGGTTGCATTTGGTTGTTGTATTGATGAGGTTGTGCTTGGAATTGGTTGAAATGCTGCTGAGGTTGTTGCGGTTGGTGTGAGGTTCGTGGAGGACGAAACCGTTGTTTGGCATTTGGAAGGAATCTAAAAAAGAAATTGAACTAGTTGAAAGTGCCATTTAGCCTTAAGGGGCGCAACTAGTGTGAAACTTTGAAAAAATCGATTTTTGTTTTGTTTCATATTCGTTAGATTACACCTTTATTAAAAACATATATTAAAAATAACATATTAAAATTTCAAATCGACATGTCAAATAGTTTTTGAGTTACAGCCATTTAAAAAAAAGTATACATATAGTATATAGTATAACGATCATTTTATCTTTAAACGCGTTTTTCTCGAAACAGCATTTTCCGAATTTGCTGCAGTGATTACTCAAAAACGAATGATCCGATCACTATCAATTTTTTTACATGTTGTGTATATAGTTCTCCGTAAAATGAACCTCGATTTTTTGATCGGATTAAAAATCTAAATTTGGCAGTCGAAAAACGAGCAAAATTTTGGGTAAAATTCGACTTTTTTTTAAAACGCCGCCATTTTGTCAATTTTGATTTATTTTTTTTATCGTAGTTCATTTACAGTCAATATTATCTAGTTAACGAGAATTTTTTTTTTTGATTTCATCCACGTAGGAGGCCGAAATCACTGCAGCAGTTAAGGGCCTTTTTTTTGTCACGCCGTTGGAGATCGACGATAACTTAAAAAAATATTTAATTTTTTTTCAAAAATTTTACTATGTATTCTTAAAACATGTATAAATATATTTCTAAAATTTTGAAATGATTGATAAAGTAGTTTTTTTTAATATAAATTCCCAAAAATCACCTTTTTTAGGCGGTTACACTAGTTGTGCCCCTTAAGACAAGTTCCATAAACTCCGGAAATGTGTAATATTGACTTAATCGAAAGAAAATGAGATTTAGATATTTAAATAAAATTAGTCAACTGTTTATTTCGAAATAATGTTTGCGATTAAATCTAAACATTGCGATTTCCAATAGAATTTTCTCAAACACATTTAAATTAACTGTAATTATATTAATTATATGCAGAGACACTAGTGATTGTATGCCCTAAAATATATATTATTTTAAATTTTAATGAGTTGATAATGTTTGACTCATAACATCACAAAAGCAACTTTTGACACAAATTTTGACTGATAATTTTTTAAACTTTGATGAATTTAAAAATTAAAATACTTGTCGTAGGGCCGTAAAATTCAGTATGTTGCCAGGACCATGATATCTAATAACTACGGTTTGTCGGTTTTCAAAAACCGACTTTTTGATGAAAATTATGAAATTCGAAAACCGGTTTTTAGCGGAAATTTAGGTTTTTACTGTATAAATGTAAATTGCCCTACGCAAACTTTAAAAAAAGAGTTTTTAGCCCTAGAAGTCAAAATTGAAAAAACAAAATTTTTTGAATTATTATTTCACTCTTTAAAAACGATTCAGTTTAGTTCGGTTGCAAGTGAGAAAGTATTTTCTATTTCGAAAAATAAACGTCCTCAGCTTTTAGCAATCATATTCATTAAACCAGAAAATAATTAAATATTTGAAGTTAATTGATTAAAATTGAATATAATAATCTTGGGATTTTGTTTAACTGTTTTTGGAACTAAAATTGACATTAACAAGTATGTATCAATATGTATGTATTTTTTTTTTGTTCTTTAATTAAAAGTTGAAAGTTTTTCTATTAACAATGTATTATTTTTATTTATTCGAACTCTTTTCTTTTACTGTGATAAAAATACTTATATTCTTATACGTGAAAATGATGCTTGAATAACGAATAATCATTTTCAAAGTAATGTAAACCAAATCAACTATTATTTCTTTATTCTACTGATTAAACTAAAAATAAATATGTACTATTCATACATTAAATAAATTCAGCCAAAAACTGCTTTAAATCACACTAAATTTACCGATTTTTTTTTGTTATTACAGAATATTCGAGCAAAAATTGATTTTTATATAAAATTCGAAAACCGGCTAAAACCGGTTTCTGAAAAACTACAATTCGAACGCCGGGTTTTCTGAAATGTCGGCTTTTGCATAAACCCTACTATCAACATAATAAGATTCATCAGAATTTTGTTTTAACAGTTAATTACGAAAAAAACCTACTTAACACGACTTTCAAATAATATCTTTCGAAAAGTTTTGAATTTTTAAAATCGGTTCAAAATTTTTGGCTAACTACAAAACTTAGCACTTTTTTGCTAATTACAAAAAAAACTGCTCAGCCTATCGTATCGAAAATCTAACCACGCGAGTGCCTATCAAGTTCATTAAATGGTTTTAAAATTATTCAAATCGACTCAACCGTTTTTGAGAAAACGTCGATGAAAGTTTAATTTTGACAAACGCCAAGAAAACGCAAACCAATTTTTTCAAAATTGGCGAATTTTCAAAGTTGGCGTAGGGCCGTAATACTTTAGTATGATCTAGCAGACCATGATATCAATCGCCAAAAAAAATCATAAAACTAGTGGGGTGGGTGGCATCGTGCCTTAAGGCAAATGCTGGAACTTCCCGTACCGTAACGAAATGTTCGAGGAATATTGAATGTTTTCAAATAGATTATTATAAATATTGTAACATTGTCTAATATTTATAAGAATTATATAAACTGAATTGCAGAGTTGAAATTATTGTTCAAAGTATATTAGAACTATAGTCAGAATTAAAAATAAAATCTGAATTATTTTCGATATAAAAAAATAAAAAAAAAAAAAAAAAAAAAAAAAAATGGTACAAAATTTTTTTTTTCCAAAATCAATATTTTGTTAAGACAAGCAGAAAGTTCTTTGAATCAATTGAATCGGACGCTTAATTCTCTCAAAAAACTGCCATTTTTTGTACATTTAGCTCTGTATCTCCGAAATGGCTGGGCCTGCCTTTGCGAAAAACTAATAACCCCTTCTCCCAATCATTACTATTGAATGTTTTTAGATCATTCAAATCGGATGCTCCGTTCTCTCAAAAACTCGATTTTTATTTTCTGCACTTTTTGCTCCTTATCTCCGTAACTGCTGGACCTGCCTTTGCCAAAAACTAATCAGCTCTTCTCCTTATCAATAGGAATCGAATGTTTTTTAAATTATTCAAATCGGTTAATCCGTACGCCCGAAAACGTGGGCGAAAATTTGTATCCATACATACATACACACACACACACACACACACACACACACATCCATTTTTCTGAGGTATGCCAAAACGTTCAGAAACCTTCAAAACGTCGAGAAATGTAAAAATTTTCAATTCCGATTTTCGGCCCATTACAATAACTTACCCTACGGGAAGTTAAAAATCGTCAAAAAAAATTTCAACAGTTAATTACAAGAACACGTCCCAGCGAATTTTTACCAAAAACTAATGAGGTCGATTCCAAAACAATATCTTTCGAGCGGTTTTTGAATTTTTAAAATCGATTCAGAATTGCGCGCTAAAATGTGGACGAAATTTTTTTCACTTTTATGCGATCTACAAAGAAATGGCTCAGCCGATCGTCGCGCAAAACTAACAAACGATGGTCCTCATCGAAATACATCGTACGCTTTTAAACTTTGCAGCCGTTTTTGAAAAAAAACGTGAATTTACGGTAAAAAATCTGTTCACATACACACAAACACATACTTTTTCCAAATTCGGTCTCATTTGATTCAGAATGGCTTAATTGTTTAAATAATAAATTTCATTTACTATTATCTTACTTAAATTAGATTGGGATCCCCAAGTTCGCCTCTGGTGCGTTGTGACTGGTTCGTGCAGGAAAAATTGAGTTTGAGGCTGATTTTGTTCCATGGCATGTGAAGGCTGCTGAAAGAAAGGAAAGGGATATATTTAAATTTCTGGTTCACTGGAAAATTAAAAATACAGTAAACATGTGTCAATTATTATGGTGTACCTGTTGCTGTTGTTGCTGCTGCTGCTGTTGTTGTTGCATATAACTTTGATTCCTAATTTGATCTTGTTGAGTTGCTAAGCGTTGGATATCGGATTGAATATCTTGCAAACTATAGTTCATTCTGAAAAAGAAAATCAAAATATGTAGAAAATATAAGTTGATATAATCCAAATACAGTCTGGGAGTGTTGTAAATCGTCTAGGAGTGTTGTAAAATGTCTGAGAGTGTTGTAAAATGTCTGGGAGTTTTGTAAAATGTCTGAGAGTGTTGTACAAAGTCTGAGAGTGTTCTAGATCATCTAAGAATTTTGTAAAATATCAGAATGTTCTAAATCGACTAAGTGTTAGACTATTATATTAATTATAATTTTTTTTTTTTCTTACTGTGCGATTGAGTGTTGATACTGTTCCAAATCAATATTATCAGCACTATCTGGTGTCCTTCGATTTTCAACAAAATACTGTGGCTCTTCACTTATATCCTACAATAACAAAAAAAATCCATTAAACATTTGTAAAAATACGACTTTAATAATATTTCAGTAAAAATACCAATCACCGAGTTCAATAAGAGATAATTAAGGTGCAAATCGTGTATTGAAATACAATAATAATGTAAATATAGTGTTGGAAACTGATAAATAATTTTTGTTTTACTATACCTGTTCCTTGTTATGTCCCATTTCGATAGAGTCTGCCATTTCGGTAGTGTCTGTTGCACTTTACTCTACAGAGAGAAAAATAGACCAAATGCCCCAAAGTTATAATAAGATACATACTTGTGTATTACATTATATACATCTATATACATACAAATTTATATATATATATATATATATATATATTTATATAAGTTATATACGGTGCAAAAACAAAATGAAAATCCATGCATCGATAATTTGATAACTCAAAAATAACATACTAAAATTTTAAATCAATATCTTAAATAGTTTCTGAGTTACAGCGATTTGAAAGAGTATATATATAGGATATAGTATAACGATTATTTTGTGTTTAAACGCGTTTTTCTCGAAGCAGCATCTTTCGAATTTGCTGGAGTGATTACTCGAGAGAAAAAATGATCCGATCGTTATCAAATTTTTATTTGCATCTCCTCTATATAGTTCTCTATACGATGACCCTCCAGTTTTTAGATCTAATCAAAAATCAAATTTTGCCAGGCCAAAAAACGACCAAAACTTTAGGAAAAATTTAACTTTTTTTCAACATGCCACCATTTTGTCAATTTTTTATTTTTTTGTTCGCCCGAGGGTCATTGTACAGACAATATGTTTTAATTTAACGAGAGTTTTTGTTTTTATGTTTTATCAACGGAGAAGGTTACAATTACTCCAGCAGTGAAGGATCTTTTTTTCTATAGCGCCGCCGGAGATCGCGTGTCATTTCAAAAATATTTAATATTTTTATTTCTAAAATTTTACTGTGTATTCTCAAAACATGTATAAATATACCCTCAAAATTTTAAATAGATAGATTCACTAGTTTTTTTCATTTTTTAATCCCATCAATGACCATGTTTAGGTTGTCACACTAGGTGTGCCCCTTAATAATTGATCCGATAAATAACAAATGTCCATGATAGTGTTATTTACAACTAATCGACATAATAGTTAATAAATACGCAAAGTATCTGCTACAATTAAAATTTTTTCTTTCGAATTTTGTACAATACATTTAAAATTACATTTTATAGACACTTACATAACAGAGGATTTTCTATATGTTCACTTGTTAACATCAATTATTAACAAATTACTATCCGTTTTTTCGTTGTGAAATTGAACGATTTTTAAATAAAGTACTGCGAAAACAAACAAAAATCGATATTT